CTTTTTTTTTCTTCTCCCCCTCCCTCCCTGTTTCTTTCTTCTCCCCCTCCCTCCCTCTCTTTTTTTTTCTTCTCCCTCCCTCCCCTACCTGTGTGGTAGTGTGGCCGAGCCCAGTATAGTCCGACCGGTACAGGGAGCTGTTGTTTCCTGTACCCGGCCGGACTAACAGGAAGTGAACACTCAGTGTTCACTTCCTGTTAGTCCGGCCGGGTACAGGAGACAGCTGCTCTCTGTACCGGTCGGACCATGCCATAGAGGGCTCGGCCACGCTACAGTGAGGGAGCTGACAGGAGGGAGCGCTCAGCGTGTCCCTCCCGTCAGCCTCTCCTCAGGTTGCGCCCGGGCGGTGCGGTCCGCCCTCATGGACGCACCGCCCGGGCAAAGCTGCAGCCGCCTAAGGCTCTTTACAGAGCGCTCGGGCGGCTGCAGCATGAGCGGGGCCGGCGCTCCTGGCGGCGCCCCCTCCCAAGGGGCGCCCTAGGCGGCTGCCTAGTCCGCCTTACAGGTAGCGCCGGCCCTGCATCTACTAGTGCAAAAAGGTGGTGATGGACAATCCTCAATTAATGCATCTCAGATCACTTCCTCCAAGCACTTGTGAACTGGAAACCGCACTGGAGGAAGCAGCAATCACAGCTCCTTCCCTTGACCTCTACCTGGCCATCCCAGTCTTCTCTGGACCCCAGGGATGGCCAGTGGCAGGTCTCACTACTAGATATACACAGAGCTGCAGAATAAACAAACATCCTACACACAAACACACACACCCCACAAACACAACACCACTGACAGTCCACATGCATGTACACAACCCCGCAAGCAGTCTCTCACATACAATACCACAAGCAGCCTCACACATATACACATATACACATATACGCAGCCACCATTCACAGTTCAAAGGTATCATACACAATACTACAAACTACTATTAATGAACAATATAAAAGCCTTTATATACACAAATACAATGCTACATAGGAACTACAGCCCCCATAAATAACAAAAAAAAAAAAAAGAATACGGCAACATACACCTCTCAATTGAAAAAGTAGGACTGGCACACCAAGGGACTTCAAGATCTTGTTTTGACACAGTACTAATAAAGGTTGCCTACTTCTGTCCTAGGATATATCCTTTTAACAACCAATATAACCAAAAGCAATATGGAGGATACAGGTGAGGATCTACAAACAGTAAATATACAATAGTGTGATACAGTTTTAATATAATCTGTGCACTAGAAGACTTGCACTTACAAGATGTGTCCTTTTGATCCCGGGAGGGATTCATTCTGTTGGGTGGGTACCTCTATATATTTATATAAGTTAATCCATCCTTAGAGACACTTACATACTACTTTTCTTTAACTACCTTTCTAGATCTATTTAAGCTCTTTCCTCCTGTGACCTCTCCACTTAGTAATGAGTATCTACATCTTATCTAAGTACTAAATACCAAGTAACACACTTTATACACAGTGCCTCTCAGCTTCTTCCTAGACTCTGTCTTTATTTGCAACACTTTGGATACATCTGTAGATGATAGATAAAACTTTATATGGATACTATCTATCAAAACCGAAAGTATATGCTGTGATAATATACTAGAGTCTATGGGAAATTTTTGTGGATGTACCTCTATATAGCTGGGATTTTCAGATCCCTGTAGACTTTAGGGGGAGCAATTTTGTGATATGTGACTGAACACATACGGTACTTTATTGTACTGGTTACTAGTGTTTTCAGTGAAGTTACCTAAATTATCCCAATATACACTGAGGATATCCAAACTACATCTACCCACTTTTTACTTCACGTGTTTTTCCCACGTGTGTTTCACTATTACTTTATTTTTATTATTATCTATTGTTTTGTGTTTTGCCAAAGTCGGCTTAATAAAGGTTATACCTAACAATTATTGTAATTATCTAGAGATATCATTTGGTGAAGTGGATGTCCAAATTTGTCCATCTTTAGTGGAACAACCACTTCACTCTAGTCTTACCCTCTAATTTAAGACTTTGTCCTCTTGTTGTGGTAGTTTTTCTTCTTTTAAAGTTTTATAGTCTCCTCCTTTACTGTGTTGATTCCCATTATGTATTTAAAAGTTTCTATCATATCCCCTCTGTCTTGTCTTTCCTCCAAGCTATACATGTTAAGATCCTTTAACCTTTCCTGGTAAGTTTTATCCTGCAATCCATGAACCAGTTTAGTAGCCCTTCTCTGAACTCTCTCTAAAGTATCACTATCCTTCTGGAGATATGGTCTCCAGTACTGTGTACAATACTCCAAGTGAGGTCTCACCAGTGTTCTGTACAATGGCATGAGCATGAGAACTTCCCTCTTTCATACAACTTCTCCCTATACAACCAAGCATCCTGCTAGCATTTCCTGCTGCTCTATTACATTGTCTGCTTACCTTTAAGTCATCTGAAATATTTACCCCTAAATCCCTTTACTCAGATGTTAAGGTTAGGACTCTATCAAACATTTTGTACTCTGCCCTTGGGTTTTTACGTCCAAGATGCATTATCTTGCACTTATCCACATTAAATGTCAGCTGCCACAACTCTGACCTTTTTCTAGTTTACCTAAATCATTTGCTATTTGGCTTATCCCTCCTGGAACATCAACCGTGTTACATATCTTAGTATCATCAGCAAAAAGACATACCTTACCATCAAGACCTTCTGCAATATCACTAATAAAAATATTAAAGAGAATGGGTCCAAGTATAGATCCCTGAGGTACCCCACTGGTGACAAGACCATGTTTCGAATATACTCTTTTGACTACAACCCTCTGTTGCCTGTCACTCAGCCACTGGCTTACCTATTCAACAATTTTGGAATCCAAACTTAATGATTGCAGTTTATTGATAAGCCTTCTATGTGCAACAGTGTCAAAAGCCTTACTGAAATCTAGGTAAGCAATGTCTACTGCACCACCCTGATCTATTATTTCAGTTACCCAATCAAAAAAATCAATAAGATTGGTTTGGCATGATCTCCCTGAAGTAAACACATGTTTTCTCTGATCTTGAAATCCATGTGATTTTAGATGTTCAACAATCCTATCGTTTAACATGGTTTCCATTACTTTTCCCACTACTGAAGTAAGGCTTACTAGCCTATAGTTGCTCGACTCCTCCCTACTACCTTTCTTGTTCATCGGCACAACATTTGCTAACTTCCAATCTTCTGGACTACTCCTGTTAACAATGATTGGTTAAATAAATATGTTAATGGTTTTGCTAGTACACCACTAAGCTCTTTTATTAACGTTGGGTGTATTCCATCAGTCCCATTGACTGATTTGTCTTTACTTCTGACAATTGAAATAGAACCTCTTCCTCTGTAAACTCACATGTTACAAATGACTAATTTGTCCTCTTTCCTAACTGAGGCCACATTCCTTCATTTTGATTTGTAAATACTGAACAAAAATATTAATTGAGGCAGTCAGCTAGACCTTTATCCTCTTCTACACACCTTCTGTTACGGCTCCCCCGGTAGGAGAGGGGTTACAGCAGTATTGGACGTTCCCTTCCCGAATGCAGAGGTAGCCACTGAGCGCTCCAAACTGCCGAACAGCAATCATACGAACTAATAAGTCTCCCAAACAGCCGAACAGCAATCACACAAACCAGTCAGTCTCCCAAACAGCCGAACAAGCGTAATCCATATGAATAATTCCCATAATGACGAGAGGTTAACCAGCAGCACACTTCTCTACTGGGTGGCCGGCCGTTCTGAAGTTTTATTCGGTAGTAAAAAGGGGTACGGTTTAGAGTCCACATGAACGGGGAAACACGAATTAAACTAGCGAATGAAGAATAAGTCTCTGTAAGTTCAAGACAGAGAGATCTGTCACACCTTCCTTTTGTTTTTAATCTAACTAATCCTTGTTTTACTTTCCTTTTCTCATTTATGTATCTAAAAAATGTTTTGTCCCCTTTTTTACTGACTGCACTTACCGTGATTTGGAAGCCTTAATAACTTGCTTAGCCTCTTTCTGCCTTATCTTATAGATCTGTCTATCTTTCTCACTTTGGGTTTTTATAATTACTACATGCTAACTTTTTGTTTTTTTATTATTTTGGCCACATCTGCGGAGTACCATAGTGGTTTCCTACATTTTTTGCTTTTACTGACAAGCCTAATGCAATTTTCGATTGACTTCAGCAGTGCAACTTTTAAATAATCCCATTTCTCTTGGACTCCATTTAAACTGCTCCAGTCTGATAATGACTCCTTTACACATATTCTAATGTTCGCCTCACTAACTTTTATTAGGCTAGATTTCATGCTATCCTTCACATACAGGGCCACCCCTCCCAGTTTCTTGACTTCCCTGTCTTTTCTATATAAAGAGTACCATGGTATTGCAATGTCCCATTCATTTTTCTAATTAAACCATGTCTCAGTAACAGCAACTAAAGCTACATTATCAGTTGCCATTATTGCCACAAGTTCATGGATCTTATTCCCTAAACTGCGAGCATTTGTGGACATGACTGTAAGCTTATCATTTTTTAACACACTTGCTACAGGCACATTCTGTCCTTGTTTTGGGTGGCAATTGGATTAATGTTTTATCACCCTTATGCCCCCCCTCCTTGTTTAAATACATCTTAGCAAAACCTCTGAACTGCTCACTGAGAACATTTGTTCTCTTTTGAGAAAGATGCAAACCATATTTGTACAGTTTATTTCCATTACAAACAGAGCTATCATGAGAAATGAAGCCAAATCCTTGCTCCCGACATCACTTACCAAGCCACAAGTTAAAGTCCCTAATACGCATCTGTCTGTCGTTCTGAGTGTTATGCACATGCAGAACTTCGAAGAATGACAGTGTGGAAGCAATCTGCTGTATATCATTGGCAAAAACACAAAAAACTTCCTTTACCTCTGAAACCTCATTGCAAGCCAAGTCATTTGTCCCTAGATGGACAAGTACATCAATTTCCCCTTCCTGCTTTGCTTGCTTAACAATATTACAAATACATCTCCTGTCTCTGTGAGCAGTAGCTCCAGGAAGACATCTCACAAGACCACTGTTGTCCAGCTCCACACCTCTTATGATAGAATCCCCCAACAACAACTGCTTTCTATTAGGCCTCACCATATAACTCCTAAAAGCTGCGACCCCTGCGACCGTGGTATGTACGCCACTGCATACAAATGTTTAAACAGCAATTGGATAAATACTTGCAAAAACTTAATATACAGGGATATAATTTCTAATTAGTGGGGCTTCTTGATCCAAGGAAATGTATGAATACCATTTTAGGGTCAAGAAGGAATTTTTTTTCATAGTTTGTAGTAAATGGGAAGCGCTTAAAACTGGGTGTTTAGCCTTCTTTTGGATCAACAGCAAAAACATATGTGAGAAAGGCTGAACTTGATGGACGCAAGTCTCTTTTCAGCTATGTAACTATGTAAATTTGCCACATGCCATGATAGTCACAGTTTAACATATACCTGGATTTGAACACTAAATGTTTCTAGTTCTCTCCTTAGCTTTGGAGCACAAGCCATCCACCAGAACTTGTACGACCGACATTAGAGAGGACTTTGAAAATTCTAGGGCTTGATTACATAGATCACTATATTGTTGAACTCCCGATGGCTTTCAAGGTAAAATGATCTTCAGACATATATCCTGAAACCGTGTCTTTTTTGTGGTTTGAAGATATCAACTTTGGTTTATATTGTTTTTTTTTTTATTTTTTTATTATTATAGCCTGGGGATGAACTAATCCCACAAGATGAGAATGGAAAGACCTTATACGACAAAACAGATCTGCGTTCGACCTGGAAGGCAAGTACCTAAAATGTGGCTTTATGATCTAAGTTGCACAGTCTAATCATAGTTTCAATCACAAAGAGAAGCAGTTCTCAAATGACTTCGTCGTATTTGGCCTTTAGGTTTGTATTGACTATTGAGGTTAAATAGGTGGAATTTCATTAACTTGGCCTCCCTGTGTCATTTTTCTGCCACCATCATCTCTGTGCCACCTCTCTGCCACCAGCATCTCTGTGCCATTGCTCTGCCACCAGCCACTTTGTGCCATATCTCTGTCCTTAGCCTCCCTGTGCAATTTTTCTGCCACCATCATCTCTGTGCCACCTCTCTGTCACCAGCATATCTGTGCCATTGCTCTGCCCCCAGCCACTCTGTGCAATCTCTCTGCCCTTTGTCTCTCTGTGCCATTTCTCAGCCCTTAGCCTCCCTGTGCAATTTTTCTGCCACCAGCATCTCTGTGCCATTTCTCTGCATTTAGCAACTATATGACATTTCTCTGCCTCCAGTGAGGGCAACAGAATGTGTGTGGGAGAGTGATAGTGTGTGGGTGGGTAACAGACAGTGTGTGGGGAAGGTGACAGACAATGTGTGTGGGATGGAGACGGTGTGAGGGGGACAGTGTGTTGGATAGATAATTTGTGTGGAGGGTGACTGTGTGGGTGATAGTGTGTGTGGGATAGTGTCAGTATGTGTGGGAGGGCGACAGTGTGGGAATTGTGACAATATGAAAGGTGGTGATGGTGACAGTGTGGTAGGTGGTGACAGTGGGAGGGATAAAAGTGGGGGTGATGGTAGCATGAGGGGATGGTGACACTGGGGATGGGTTAGTGTGTGTGTGACAGACCCATCTGTCTGGATTATAACTGCGTTGTTCGTCTGTTTTGCCGTTTTCATGAATTTCCCCGTTCGTATGCTTTGTTTAAGGGAATGTCGGTTTTGTCGAACGGAACTACCGAACGGACGGCCACCCAGAAGAGAAGTGTGCTGCTGGTTAACCTATTGATCCCAATTAGAACGTTGCGGTTAACCACAGACACTTCTCAATTAAAAACCGAATGCCGGGTGGTCGTCGTTCGTATGTCGACCACGAGGCGGCGGCCATTTTGTCCATGCGAACGACCAGCGGTGTTCAACGATTATTTCATGGATCGGAAAACGGACACTTTTTCAGCCGAACACCGCTGAAGCCGTCGACCTCCCCTTCTCAATCGACAAAAGCATGCGAACGACAGCCGTTCGGGAGATTCAACCACACGAATGGACTTAACCCAGATAGCCGTCCCATGGAGTCAATCGCATACCGAAGAACTGAAAGAGACTTTGACTCCATGGCGATTGAACTGTGCGAATGGGATCTGAGCGCTATTCTCCAATAATGTGCCCTCAGATCCAGGCTATCTGGGGATATGCAAGACTGATGTAAAATGTTCAGCAGTTATTAAGTTATGGATTTTTGTGTGTTTTTGTAACTTGTATCTAAAATGGCGATTGCCTCTGCTCGGGGAGATAATTGAATTACTTCCCAATTATCCCCCGAGCAGAGGGGAGGGAACTGTACTGCATGCTGGGAATATTGTGGGGATGTATGTCCAGAATGTCCCCATGTCCCTCTGTGATTTCAGTCTCCCATTTGGTCCCCTAGGGGAGTGTCCACCAAGTGGGAGACCTGCATAAATACCGGGCAGGTAGCCCACAGTAAACCAGTTCGTGTTTTACCCTCAAAGCGGAGCTTGGTCTCGTTATTGGGGGGATTTGGATACCAGCGGCGAGAGACTGCTTACTTGGATTATTTGCCGCTTGGGAGATATTGTCGTTCGGTTATTAATTGCCGTTCGTGGATTTGCGGCTTGCGAAGGGAATCAGCCGTACAGGTACCGTTCGGGAGTTTGGAGTGTTCCCTGGCTGGCGGTTCGCCTGGTTTTATTATACCCGCTACCCGACCACATTATTGCGAACGGGGAATACTCGCTAAACGGCGGTTTGTACATTTCGTTCCTGGAGGTACCGTAACAACTGGTGGCAAGCGACGGGATGATCCTCAGCGCCCAAAGAAACCACTACAACCGGGACTAAATGGAATTACAGTATCAAAACCTGAGGAGAGCTACCCTAAAGGATTTATTAGAGCAAAGAGGCGGACAAGCCAGTAACCTCAGGAAGAGGGATATTATTACATTATTGCTGGAAATGGATGGAGTACCAGCGGCAGAGGGAACCGATGGACCCAGCACAGCTGACAGAACCCCCGAGGAGGCAAGCTTCGACCGGGCGGTAAGGATCAGGCTGGCCCATTATGGTCCCAACCCAACTACTGAGACTGTCACCCAGGTCATAGCCGCTGTGGAGGCCAACCTGCTACGCCAAAGTGGTGCTGCAGCAGCCCCAGTCACAGCAAACCTGGGAGATAGGAAAAAGGTACCCTTTACAGCATTTAAAGCCTTCAATGAGACAGAAGGAGAAATTGATGGGTACCTTGCTGATTTTGAGCGGCAATGTGCCCTGCACAAGGTACCCCTGGAAGACTGGGTTACTATACTGTCCGGCAAGTTATCTGGCCGGGCCAGCGAGGCTTTTCGGGCCATTCCAGATGAGGAGATTGGGGATTATGGGGCCGTCAGGGAAGCTTTACTCTCCCGGTATGCTGTTACACCTGAGGCGTACCGGAGGAGATTCAGAGACACGGTTAAAACCTCTGGGGACTCATATGTGGAATGGGCATGCAAGGTGCACCGCACAGCCGCTCACTGGATGGCGGGTTGCCAGGCTGTGTCCGGGGAAGAGGTGCTACAGATGTTCCTCTTAGAACATTGTTTTGACAAATTGCCCACAGGGGTCAGAGAGTGGGTAAGGGACCGTAAACCCTCCACTCTGCACGAAGCAGCTCGCCTGGCGGATGAGTATACCGACGCCCGCAAACTGGACAGTCTCATCAACAAGGCTCCCGCCAGAGTGGAATACAGGCCAGCAGCACCAGCCCCCGCCAACCTATACCAGCCTCCCATGACTCGCCCATCAGCACCTCCTCCATCTGCCCCGTACCAACAGCCACCTAGGTTTAATGCACGGGAGTACACGCAACCCATTCGGTGCTACCTGTGCAAACAACTAGGGCACAAGCGACCCGAGTGCCCGATGAACAGCGCCAACCAGAACCAGTCCTGGCGGAGACCAGCAGGCGGCAACCCCCGACCTCCCCTCCCGGCCGCTCACTGTGTAGAGGAAGAAGAGTGCTGGGGCATCCTGCATGAGGCAGACCCCGTTCAGGCTGCCCACCGGGATAACCGACAGCATCACCGGCAGTGTGTGAAAGTAAACGGGAAGGAGGTCAGTGGTCTACGGGATACCGGGGCAACTATGACATTGCTCCAGAAGCACCTGGTATCCGAAGCCCAACATACAGGGGACACGGTCGCCGTACGAGTAGCTGGAGGTGCCGTGTTCCGTCTGCCCGTTGCCCGGGTACATTTGGATTGGGGAGTGGGCGCTAGACATGTGAATGTGGGGGTCATGAAGGACTTACCAGCGGATGTTCTCCTTGGCAATGACTTGGCGCCCCTTGTTTCCGCCTACGCTCCCATGGGTCCTGCTGAAGTGGACGCTGTCACGACCCGTGCCCAGACCCGTGCCGCCGAGACCGGCCCACCTGCTGTTGAGACCCAGGTAAGACTCTCTACCCCGACTTGTACCTTAGACCAGGCCCCTTTAGGCTGGGATACCCCAGAGATATACGGGAAGGAAACCAGGGAAGACCCGACGCTAGCAAAGTACAGGGCCAGGGCCGATTCTGGGGGAGAAGGAGTAGATGGGGAGCACTACGAGTGGGTGGGGGATAGACTCTACAGGATCCCGAAACCGCCCCAGAAGCCGAATACCCCTCCGCAGAATCGACAGCTAGTGGTGCCCGCAAAATACCGGCAGGAGATTCTGCGGATTGGGCATGATGTGCCATTAGCCGGCCATCTAGGTTCCCGCCGCACAGCTCATAGGATCACGCAAAATTTCTTCTGGCCCAATTTTAACCGAGATGTGCGGGTCTATTGTAGCACGTGTGACACCTGTCAACGGGTAGGTAAGCGGGGGATCACCCAAAAGCTAGGCTTCAGTCGATGCCTATCATTGGAGAACCCTTTTCCCGCATAGCCGTTGACATTGTGGGTCCACTGGCCAGGGCTAGTCCATCAGGTAAGAAGTATATTCTCACCGTGGTGGACTATGCCACACGTTATCCAGAGGCAGTAGCGCTGTCTAATATAGAGGCAGAGACGGTTGCTGATGCCCTGGTTAAAATCTTCACTAGGGTCGGGTTCCCTCAGGAGATTCTCTCCGATCAGGGAACCCAGTTCACCGCTGTGCTTACCCAGCAGCTGTGGAAGGTGTGCGGTATTAAACCTCTGCTTAGCTCACCTTATCACCCACAGACTAACGGTCTCTGCGAGCGATTTAATGGCACCCTCAAACAGATGTTGAGGACCTTTACTGACACTTGCAGAGACTGGGAGCGATTCCTGCCTCATCTGCTATTTGCATACAGAGAGGTGCCCCAGGAATCTACTGGGTTCTCCCCCTTTGAGTTACTCTATGGGAGAAGGGTCCGTGGACCCCTAGATCTCATTAGAGGACACTGGGAGGGGGAGACAGAGCAAGAAGGGACCCCCATAGTACCATATGTCCTGGAACTCCGGGACCGCATGGAGAAACTGTCCCTGATGGTAAGGGAGAATCTCCAGGCGGCCCAGGGGAGACAGAAACGGTGGTACGATCGGGGTGCCCGACAGCGGATCTTCCAGGTTGGGCAGAAGGTTCTGGTACTCAAGCCTGTGAAGACGAACAAGATGCAAGCATCTTGGCAGGGCCCGTATAAAGTGTTAGCTCAGGTATGCGATACTACCTACCTTATAGCCAGCTGTTCAGATGAAAGGATTCAGCGATCCTTCCATGTGAACATGCTGAAGGAGTATCAAGAACGACCAGAGGATTTTGCGGCAGTATGTGCCCCAGCTACTGACGACCCCGAGAACTTACCGTTACCTGACTTGCTAGAGAGGGACCCCCAGACAGACCTTACTAGTCTTGTACAGCTAGGGGACCGACTAAACCCGGCAGAGAAG